ATTAAATTAATGACACTTGTTTGAAAATATTAAAACTTTAAAGGGTTAAAACTAAAATATTCCAAATGTCACTTGTTAACTATCACCTATATGTTAACTTTAACTTTTATTTATTAACTGCAGTGTAATTTTGACCGCATGGTATTTTCTGATGGAGGGAGAACTTTGCAAGGAGGCAGACGATAAAGGAGGAGTAGTTAAAATGGGTAAAAATTAAGAGAGGAAAGTACTTTCCCCCACTTATTTTAGTTTGGTTGAAATTGAAAAAAAAAATTGATATATGAATAGATTCCCTCATTTTCTAGTGTTTGGTTCAAACTAAAAAATCAAGAAAACTTGATTGTGGTCACCATGGTAAGATTACCACCTTTATAAGATAAATTTATTTCCAACATAAATTAAGAGGTGAACATATATCAACCATCACATAAAAATATTTAAAATTTTGAGGGACTTGTTTGTAATTTTTAAAAAGATTTGAGGTAGTGATTTGCAAAATATTCAAAGATTTGAGGGCCTAATTCCAAAATGCCCAATGAACAAGATTTGAAGAAACCCGTTGCTCAAGAGAAAAATATGTTTAGTTATAGCCATTTTCTTCATTGTATGCTCCGCCATAAAATTTATAATAACAATGTTGGTTGCATGTATTGCCTCACCAATTAATTACCTGTATAGATTTTGGCTGCATACATTAAAAAAAGACCATCATCATGACATAATATCATATTATCAGTGTCATAACAACCAATGCCAAAGACTCAGTTAGTTCTAACATTCCAATTAGTGTTGTTTCTAATATAAGTGTTAGTTCCAGTGGTATGTTAGTTCTAGTTGAGCCTCTGTTAGTTATAGTGCCTCTCGTGCTAGTTCTAGCTGATGTCATGTTAGTTCTAACATTCCAGCTAATGTTATTTCTAATATAAGTGTTAGTTATAGTGGTATGTTAGTTCTAATTGAGCTCATGTTAGTTCTAGTGGCTCTCGTGCTAGTTCTAGCTGCTATCATGTTAGTTCTAACATTCCAGCTAGTGTTATTTCTAATAAAAGTATTAGTTCCAGTGGTATGCTAGTTCTAGTTGAGCCCTGTTAGTTCTAGTGGCTCTCGTGCTAGTTCTATCTGATGTCATGTTGGTTCTAACATTCCAGCTAGTTTATTTCTAATATAAGCGTTAGTTCTAGTGTTATGTTAGTTTTAGTTGAGTCCGTGTTAGTTTTAGTGGCTCTCGTGCTAGTTCTAGTTGCTGTCATGTTAGTTCTAACATTCCAGGTAGTGATATTTCTAATATAAGCGTTAGTTCTAGTGGTATGTTAGTTGTAGTTGAGCCCCTGACGTTATCGAACCTGGATCCAAATCTTGATCGGAGCTCCGACAGGTTCGAATCGACGGCGGAGATCGATCAGAGGCTCGCTTTGTGAGCAAGTTTTGCAAGGTTTTGTTCTCTTGATCAGATTTGACGTCGGTTTTCTTTTGTATTTGTTATTTGCCGCTATCCTCGGGGGGCGAGGGAGGGGGAGGAAGGCGCCGGAGAGGTAGCTGATCTCGAAGTTACTGTTGAAGGAGAGGACGGAGCCGGAGGGATGAAGGAGGGAGACAAAGGTGACGAGGCCGAGGCCGCTGAGGAGGGAGAAGTCGCGGCATCGACAGAGGGTGAGGGAGGAGATGGAGGAGGGGAGGTCGGAGCCGGGGGAGAGGCGGAGGATGGAGGAGCGGAGGGCGGTTGGGGCATCGTTGAGGATCTGGCAGAGGTCGTCGTCGTTGAGGATTAGGAAGGAGGAAGAAGATTGAAAGGGAGAGAGGGGTGACCAGAACGAGAATGGAAAGGGATGGTGAATCATTTTTTTTGTACGGAGAGAGAAAAATGGTGTTTTCCGTTGTAATCGGGGTTTTTTGAGCGAAATTTTTCCGATAGAGAAATCTGATGTGACACCTCAACTTTCCTTCACTTTCCTTTTAATTTTTTACAAACCAAACATATGATTGTGGGGGAAAACAGTGTGTCAGTTTTCTGATGAGTCACTTTCTGCCCATTTCTGCATTTTTGACCAAACAAACAGGCCCTTAGAGTCCCAAATTTTTAGGGTTTATTTGAAAAGATTACGGGAGTCCTGTGATATTTTCAAACCTTTTGGGGTCGCATAAAAATGGACCAAATTTCTTGGGAGCTTTGATAAATAAAAACAATCCAATGTTATTATGAACTGCGAACGCTCCATCCGCGGAGAAACCAGCGGCGTCCGAGTTTTTGGCAGGATACTAGAGATTATCTCAGTTTAAACGGGTCCGCGGAGCAGCATAACGAGAGGATGAAACCGCGATTTGCGCGCCGGAAGGGTAAATGTCGGTTTCATTAGCGTTCCGGAACGGTAAACTCTCATTATTTCTTGGTGGGTCCGGCCCGCAGCACACGTTTTACAACCTGGACTGCTGTTTGAGTGGGACCCACGAGGACGTTCCTTAGGGACCGGGACCATGGTGGGAACACCCAGCTCATAACGGTCGGATTGTTGTGGGGCCCCAAAGACGGAGGGGTTTTGAAGGCGGGAATTTGGGTGACGTTGTAGTAGGTGACGCCCGATATTCCAGCTTATCACAAGGAATTGCGTTGGAGGTGGAGCCCAGGAGCACTTCAGGCATGTTGTACAGGTTGGCATAGCTCTGCTTTTAGGTAGCACCCGGTTGGGCTTTACAAGGAATAGAGTAGGTGTAATTGTTGTCTGTACATACCTTCCTTCTCTGACTTGTCTGTGGTTTAGGATATCTATATACTATTACTCAAAGTTGTCACCCTTCAATTCGTCATTTGGCAAAAATGCTACTTGGTAAAAATGGTCCATACCATTTTAAACAACACTTGGCAAACATATCAATTGCTATCTTCTTGCAAGTGCCACTTGTCAAGTTTCTACAAAAGTTCTCCATATTAAATTTGAAATAAAAAATAAAAAATAAAAAGTTCTCATTGAGATTTGAACTAACTCTCCCTGCCTTTTCAATTTTCCAAACAAGATGCTTCGTAAACTGTTTGAACGCTTCGTAAACTGTTTGTATTCTTTTGCTACATCAATTTTTGTATATTAAACAAATCCGTGCATCGCACGGGCCTGAAACTAGTTAGCACTAATAGCCGATCTCTTCGTCTGCATATACCTTACTTCCCTGACTTGTTTATAGTTTAGGATATTAACACTACAGCTAATCTCAATTCAACTTTGCTAATTCAGGAGTAGACGATATGATTAATGCTAGTCAGACTAACAGAATAATTTTTATATTAGCGAACATAAAAATGTCAATATGAAATGACATATAGTAATATGAAATGACAGATCGTCCCCCTTTTAAAAGCACATGTGTTGTTTAGACGTCGCGCTTCCACGTTAGACTGGACGTTCTGAAGAGATGTGAACTCTTGAGTATTGAAGAGTCCATATGAACCCAATTTGGCTTGCTTAGTATGCACCATATGGGTCGATTGTCTTTGCCTCCACTTGTTGCTCTCCTAAAACGAATCAATACCATTTTCTCTTTAAAAGATGGAGTACTAGAAAAATTATCATTTTTCTAAAATGTCTTTCATCTTTCATGAAATTAACCAATTTACTCTATTATTATAACTCCCAATCTTATTAAATCACATAATTAAAAATTTATGCTATAGTATAACTATTCTTTAGATTATTAAATAAAGTAGTTATTAAATAACTTACATCTAATATAATAATTAAATTAATTATTATAATAGTTTAGATTGTCAAGTGTCTAATATTTTAATATATTGTAGGAATTATTATTTATGTAATAATGCAACTCCAGTTAGATTATAATAGTATAAAATTATATTAAACATTAGATTTTTTTAATAGTATAAGATTATAATTAAAAATTAATTTTTTAGTGCTTGTCAGCTACATATAATATTTATATCTCATCTAGAGTGGTTTTTGATAAAAACTAGTTGGATTGCACGTGCAATGCACGTGGTTATTTTATTTATTTATTATAACAAGGTTATAAAAATTTACAGTGAGGAGACGGTAAATGTTCATGTGGTTGTATCCGGCAACTACTGTTCTTGCTGCAATCTCCTTTTATGCAGCGAGTGGACGATAAATGTTTTGCTTTTCGTTTTGTATTTTTAGAGATAGTTGAGAAAGCACGACAAAAGAGTAGGATTAGTTGAGAGTTTTTCATGTTGCTGAAATAATCATTTCATATATAACCCAATGTTTTGATGCAAGGATTAAAAGAACCTTTGTTGTTTCGTTCATTATTGATCATTGCACAGAGCTCAAGACGTGCAGTGTTTTTCCATGACAAACTTAAGTAGGAGTTAAGTTGCAGTATATAACACATGCTTCTAAGAGTTTCAGCTATCAAAATGAATGCAACCTCTGATATAATACTTCTCTCTTCTGAATAAAAAAAAAACTTTAATTTGCCTACACGAACCAATCAGATATCTTGAAGGAAAACCTAGGGTAGAAGTATTTTGACAATATGATTTCAATAGCATAACAGAAAGCCAAAAATATGATTTGGCTTCTCAGGTTTCTAACATTGTTTCAGTCTTTTTACAGGGCAATGTAAGTTGAATGCACCGAGAAGATGCATACTAATATTTACACCATAATCATACTTAAATATTTTTTACAAAGGAATTGTGCTCTCATCAGCTAGGGTAGTCTAGATGATAAAGATCTCGCAATACATTACGTTGATCCCCTTTGTTAGTGTCTCTACTTATCAAATAATTTAGATGATAAAGATCTCGCAATACATTACGTTGATCCCCTTTGTTAGTGTCTCTACTTATCAAATAATTTACACCATGTCATGAGAAATTTTAAATGCCATCTAGCCATTTTGCAGAACATTAGAGAGTCAACCCACAAGCTATAAAAAATGTTTCTGAAATCAAAGTATTCATTTCGAATCACGTACAGTATTATTACATACTAAATTAAAACATAAGAGAAATGACACAAACAAGTAAAAAGAGCCTGCATAAATAGTTAAAGTATTAAAATCAAAAAACACTTCCAATCATATTCAACTACCTCATTCTCTTCTTCCCAATATACATTAAATGACATTTAAATTGCCAACACTTCTTTCATGATTTCAGAAACATAAACAACTGCAAATATTTATTCAACAAACAATTCTCATGAATCTTGGACTGACTAACCCCAGCAGAGAAAACAAAATATATTACCTAAAATTCTCCAGGGTGAGAAGATGAGTAATTTCCTTATATAGTTCTTCATTGAATGTAGAAAAAACTTTCAGATCTTTTACTAATATATCTACCGCCTTACTCCTGTCACGGCTGTCAGCGAAAAAAAAAAGATACTATTATTAAAGAAAACATATTTGAAAAAAGAAAACATTTTATAATTAATAAAATGACCGTTAATTGAACAGAGAAATCAAAGGGTAAACCTGCCAAGTGCCTCTAAATAATTCTGCTTCCTAATCTCGAAGAAAATCTTCATCGAATATCTATTATCATCCACCTTTGTGAATCCAGAGAGATACTTCTCGACCTCGTCCCACTCTCCAGCGAGCGACTTCTCCTCAAAATACTTCATATTGAAGAAAAACCCCGATTCCTGCTCCAATCTTTTCAAAAACCCAAATAAAAAAGATCACAGAAGACAGTATTCCCTAAATTCAAGTAGAGGTTGGTCATCAGTATCATGATATAGAGGTATACAAAAATATTGCAGAAAAAATTAATAGATATTTCCCACAGATATGAGATAGTATTATACAGCATTCATTACCCATTAGGCATAGAGCAATCTACTAACAGTATTTATAAAGTATTATTTAATCTCGCTGACAATTCACTTGTGCCATAAGTTTGCGGTTAATTAACAATTTACAGATCATATTCGCCATATATAATTTTCACCAAACACTAACAACCATATCATCACTGTCCTTGATCACTGCTAGTTCCAAATCCCTTCCAAAATAAGGATTCAACTCAAAAATTGATTTCCACATATACAAACAAAATAAAATTGCATTAAAACATGGATTTTAAAGCTGGTGCTCGACAACGATATATGTACATATATACTTATCTATATATGTATATACAATTCTGGACCCTCTAAATAAATACATATATACATTAGTTTAGATAATCAAAATGCAACATATATACTTATCTGACGTTTTGTTAATAATCTAATTCTCTATGGCACCAGCTTAATAATCATTAGTTTAGAGGGTCCAGAATTGTATATACATATATAGATAAGTAAATATGTATGTGTGGACTGTCTAGAATTGCGGCGGTGTCGACGGCGAGGGTGCAGCTCGAGGGTGGCATCGACGGCGAGTTCGAGGGTGTCTAGGGCTTCGTCGAAGGGGTTGTGACAAACAAAGGGTCAGAAAGAGAAGTCTACATAGTAAGTAATAATTAGTCCTGTAAGGTTTTCATTTTATCAATTGTATTAAAAAGGAAAAAGAAATGTGATGCAAGAGTTTTGTAACGCTATACAGGTTATCCATCATTTTGTGAAACATAACAAATTTACCTCACTTCTAGCAGAGCTGTCCATCATAACAGATGGTCTTACAGTAGGTGGTTGAATAGGAAGAAGTTGTAATATCATCCAATCCGCATGATCATCTTTCGGTTTGAAACCTAGTAGTAGGCAATCTTCATTGATTATCCTTTTAATAACACCGAGAACTTGGCCATGTCATAAAAAAAGAAACAAATAAATTTGGACTACTAAAAGAAATAAATCAGAATAACAATTTTGCAAAATTAGCTACATTCTCTGTAGAAAGCTATTGTTTCCTCTCAACAGGTTGAGGAAGTTGTGCTTGGTCATCAGATTTCTTGCAAAAGACTTATAAACAATAGTTTGTGTGCAGTATAGATAAGTAAAAAATAGTTGACATGCAAATTTAAAGTAATAAAGTCAGCTAATCTCTGAATATGTATTTACATTCACACAATTGAATGTTAAATTTAAGCTAATAACTGTAATAACAATCAAAGCATGCAATAGTTATCAAACAACTATATGAGCATATGTTTATAAATCATAAATTGTCCTAACACCTTCAACCAATTTGTAAATGTAATAAAAATTAAAAATTATTCATGTTTAATTTTTGTGGGCCCTTGATCAATCCTTCTCCACCTTTATCTTCTTCTTTGGTAAATCAAGAACCGAATCATCGTCATCAATGTTGATTGTGCTGTTTTCTTGGATTTGGATTTCTTGTGCTATTATCTTTCCTTGTGCACGTTCATCCTTTGAGTTCTCATCCAACTTTACAAGGAACTTGTATGTCTTTCCGATGTTGAGAATAAACTTTTGAAAGAATGAACTCTGATTATTTTTCTGTTTTAATGAGGAAAAAATTAAGATCTTATACATGAAACATATTGTTTTATATGTATAAAATATAATAAAGTAAGAAGTTACCTCTTTTATATCATCCATGAATTTTTGAGCCTTATATCCTATCAAAGTTTTTGCTGCGTCAAAAAGTATCACTCTTGCATAATCTGTCTCATCTTCAACTATGATTTTAACTACATACCAACATTTTGTATTATCATTGTGCATCAGCTGATAGTTTTATATTTAATCTTTATATTTTTCTTTCACGAGTAATTGATAGTACTTTACCTCGGTATACTATCTTCATTGTTTTTTTAAAAATTTTGACATTTTTCATAAATTGTTTTTTCTATTTTTTTATTGCAGTCTTTGCAAGAGTAGTACCAAGCCTCATGTCTATTTAAAATATTAGTTATTTTTCCCGTAAAGCTGTCATATTGTGCCTGTAGAGTTGTAAAAATTTAGTTAGTTATAATCATAGTTTACATATATTTAGTAAATAAAATAAGAAATTATAAAATAATTTAAAAAAAGATAGTCAAAAATGATTTTTTTTTTTAAATTAATGTAAAAGTAATAATTGTAAATGTATTTGAAACATATTTAGGATAACTTATAACTATATTAAAAATATATGATTAGAAAATAAATCTTTTTTTAGTGAATATAATTAAAAAAATTCATGTTTACTTTATATCTTACCAATGAAACAAGATCTTTTTATATCAGCTTGTTTTGAAACTGAAGCTCTTGATTCATTAATATTTTATAGTAGGATTATTAATATCATACCTTTTATGATTTTTGTGAAGCTTGCATAATGTCAATAATATTCATTTTCGCTGCATTTTTAAAAAGCCTTGATGGAGCACCATTAGTCTTGATATCGTCTTTTGAAAGAGCCTTGCATATAATCTTAAAAATATTAAAATTTTAATTTATTAAGTTACCTTTTTTATTTGAATTACCATTCTTGCATGTCCTTAGCAAGCTGTATTTCAGGGTTGATACATATTGTTGATGCAATTTGCGAAGTCCTGCACATCTCCCCTGCATATATAATAGTTATAATTAGAATTTAATATTTATTGATAAATAATTTACAATTCAATAATAAAAAATGTTACCTTTGTACAATGATATTTTAAAATTTGATAGTGCTATTATAGTTGTCTCATTCATATTGCCTTTAATAATTGAACCCTCATTGTGAGCTAAATCTCTGAATAAAGTTACAGACAATGTTATCTCACTGTGTAAGAAAAGTTAGACAATTTTTTGTTAATATATTATATTATGAATAATTAAATTATTGTGAAATAAAAGCATGTGTATACTCTTTGTCTACTATAATGATTTCCCGCCTTGTGTCCGCCTTATTATATCTTGTAACGTACTTGATCATAGGCTTGACATTTGCTATTATTGCAAGAACATCTGCACATAAATTTATAACAAGTTTAAAATTCATTTATAATTTTTTAAATTAAAAGTAAAAGGTTTTTACAAATACTTACTTATATTCCTCGTAGACAATTCATTTACATAGAAATAGGAAGAAAGCATGATATTTGTTGTAGAAAATTTACGAAAATGAATTACATGTTGCTTACCTCTTTAATAAATGCAGGAATTATTTTTATATGATCTTATACACAGTAAGGTGATAATAATTAATATAAGAATAAGCATCAACGATTATAATTTAATTTATATTTATAAATTTAAAAAAATTTATGAAGGCTTTGCATACATTTAAAATAACGATTGTTATGGCATGATAAAAAGTGATGCATATTGTATTTAAACATTGTATGTATTACTTTATTTAAGAATAAGTATCAACAATTATCAATAGAATTATAGCATGTAGAATATTGCTACATTACCTCCGAGTCGGCGAAAATTATTTTTAGTAGTTTTCCTGATCCTTTGTTGTTCTCATAAAAGGACTCAATAGTTCTTAGGATAACAACATGAATGGTACACTCTCTTTGAAACTTTTTTAGTTGATGTATTTGGATGTGTGGAATTTGAGCTTCGTTGATGGATGACATTATTCCTGCAAGATTTTGAATAGTTTGTTATATATAAATAACAGCGCATTTGAAGTATTAAATAAACACAAAAGAAAATAAAATGAGACTATTTCTATATCAAAGGTATAATAATATACAAATTAAAAGTTATGAAATTTTAAATATATATATATAGATAGATATGAATGTTTTTTAGTTTTTAATTTGAATTTATTAATTAATATTATTTACAATGTTTAAAGTTATTTTAATTTTGATTAGTACATGATTTTGAACGAACAGAGTGATGGATGTAATAATGAATTGTAATATTTTTTAATTTTATTTTTAAGAAAAAAACTTTAATAAAATTGTAGATACTTATTATATAAATTCCTAACCTTCAAAAATGTTATTTGTCATTTGAATTATTCCTCGTGGTCCTTTGGCTGGAGAACTTCCTTGTATACAACATTCTTTGTGTATTGTTCCTCTTCTGCAAATTTTCCATCTGATGTTATTAAGACCTTGGTTGTCATCATAGAAGTACCCCGCGATAAAGCAACATATAATTGCCCATGAGAGAACACTGGTCCAGGTAGATAAATACCTACATTAGGTATTGTTTGCCCTTGGGATTTATTAATTGTCATTGCAAAACATAATCTTATGGGAAATTGTTTGCGTTTGAACTTGAATGGTAATCCTTCATCTTCTGCAAAACATAATCTTAGGGTGATAAAATCCCATTATTTGTTCTATGATGCATGCTTACACTGACATAAGGCTGGCAGACATAGGTTCAAATCCTTAAAATAATGGATGTAAATGGATACATTACTAAATCACTAAAAGGTTATATAAGTTGCAGGGTATTATGAAACACAAAGGATATAAAAAGGATTATTAAACGTTTGATAAGTTTTTAGATATGTTTATTTTCTGATATGAGTTTGGAATGTAACTAATAGACCATATCTCACAATTGACGAATATACAAAAAAAAAACAGAAATTATTGTCTTTGATAACAAGAGATAGGAACCATACAAGAACTTATTGTGTCTTTGATAACAAGAGATTTGTTTGCCTAATTAACTAACAGGTTCAAGCATTGCATATAAGGTTAACCTGCACAAAGTTTGCAGAAATGTTGGCTTTGAAGTTCTTCAAAACATAGTTACCGAAGGCTTGAGTTGAGATGAATTAATCAAAAAAATGAAGAAATGATGAAAAATACCTAAATAGAAACTTAAAGGAAAATGTAAACAACAGATGAAGAAAAGGAAAACAATATTGTTCTTCATATTGAACACATAATGTCCATGTTATTGACTTCTCATGCACATCTAAATTATCATGTTAAGCAGGGCTTAAGCATGAAGAAAAGGGTACATAATGTCCATGACGCAGCAGTAAGAGAGCATTCCATTCATATCACTCTTAACATTTTTTACCATACTTGGACGACTATTGTGAACTATAGTTAGCTCAGATGCCACATATCTATATTGCTCAAACATGAAATTTTTTCTATTTTCAGGTGTACATGAAGGAAAGGCTTTATCATCTTAATGGAAAAGAAAAAAAAAGAAATCACCAATCACTGCATTCAGTCGATGACACCACATCAATTGCTCGAAGAAAACTTTATGATCAACAAGACTTTACCCACTATCATCAATCTATGTCAATGGGCTAAAGCGTAATGCCTATAATTGAAATCTTATGCCAGCTATGATCACAACTCCAGCTCGCAAATAAAGGGTTAGGCTACACTTCTGCTAATATAAATCTCAATGGCAGCTATGGTCACAATGGCAACTATGCTCACAATCGCAAATAAAGCGTAATGCCTATAATTGAAATCTTATGCCAGCTATGGTCACAATGGCAGTCATCTTGCAAGCACTTACCGTGCTCTGGGATTGTTGAAGATTGTTGGTTATGATTTTTCTAGAATTGATTCTGAGTCTATTTTGATTTCGATGAGGAACCTTCAACAGAGTGATGGGAGGTGAAATTTTATTATTAGTACTGAGGTATAGAGGTTCTTTGTAAATTTAAGTTTATTTGGATTTCTTTTTGCAGTTTTATGCCCACACACATTGGGGAGGAAACAGACCTACAATTTGTATATTGTGCCGGTGAGAAATAGTTTGCTTTGTATTTGCCTGTGAATTTGTCTATTCAATTCCTTTAACAAACTTATATAAGTAAAGTTACTTGGTTTAACAGCTGCCCTGTGAATTTGTCTATTCAATTCCTTTAACAAACTTATATAAGTAAAGTTACTTGGTTTAACAGCTGCCATTTGTTCTATGTGTGATAATTGGATTGGGATGGACAAAGGAAAGGCCAAAGATTAAATAGTCCCATGCCAGGTCTGTAGTATCTATAGCATTGTTTGTAACAAATAGATTGTTGTGTTTTTTATTAGTAAGATGCAATTTCTATTTGTTGCTTACTGCTTGCAGTCATATGATGGTGTCTTTGGTTTAGTACCAGGCTCCGAATCTCATGGTAAGTATTTAAATGCAAATTTTGCAAGATAACTCTCAGTACTATGCTTTCATCATCTGATGATATGTTAAGTGACTTCAATCATTTATTCACGTATGCATATGCTACAAGTTTTGAAGGTAGATTATTTTAAATTTGAAGTAGTCCTTTTTCTGAAGCAATTTTCAAGTATTATCAATAGTAAATTAAATTCTTACATAATGAAATATATTGAAGATTTGAGGGACTAATATTGAAATAACGTATCTCTTTAATATATGTTAGACATTAGATTTGGTTATGGTTCTTGATTACAGATGATTGTTTTAGTTTCTCAAGTTTGAACCTGATATTTGGTAGATCAATATTTATCTGCCTAGTGTAACAGGTGGTGCCACTTACTGTGCGGTTGCTGCTCTCCAACTAATGGGTTTTATTGAAGATCACATCCTTAATAAATTTAGACCATCCAGTGTGATCAATGTGCCAATGCTAGTGGAGTGGAGCATGCAGGTATTGTATCATTGAAGTACCCATGTCATCTGAGTAAAGAATAGAGCTTCAGTTTTGTGTTTCCGTGATAAAGCATCGTGTTGGTTAAAATAAGCAAAATGTCCCTGGATGCCTTACGCAACTTTGTACGTCAAGTTTCCCTTGTTAAACAATGATATCCCTTCACAGTTTGCGTTAGAATATCCTTTTTGTATCTTTTCTTGTTTTTGTTAGTATTTCTGAATTTTCTACATTTTAGGATTTTGTTTATAAAAAAACAGAGTGTAGAGGTGGAAGTGCACAAGATCAAGCCTAATTGGAAAAACTGGATCGTGCCAATTGAAACAGCAATATAGTAAAATCAATCAGCGGAGATGGTATGGTTATGTGAAACATGGATCATGAAAAAACTCAAGAGTTGCCTGGAGGTCCTGGAATATTAAATATGATACTATGAGAAATAATTTTGACCATCTTGCAGGACGCTAAGCATGGTTTGTATTTTCAATAGATTGCAAGGAAGGAATTATTGAGTTACTAACTGTTTATGATATAACCTAATATGGACAGATATTGACAGAGAAGTAAAGTGCTAGTTTTCAACAAAGTATCAAGTAGACTCATAGTATTCATTGTCTTTTACTAAGGGTTTTTTGAGTTCTAAACTATAAGTAATACAGAGCATAAATTATTTCTCATAGTATTCATTGTCGTATAATACAAACATTCCAAAGTAAATGAAAATGTCATTGAAATCACTAAAAATAATTAGCTCACAGCGTAGAGATTCAAAGCATAGAGCGAAGGAAGAACATAAACCTTGGCGGTGTACTGATTGCAGGCTGTCTGGCCGACGAAGTAATCAGCTGCAGCCGC